TTTTTTTTTTTCGGTATCATTGAAATTAAAATAAAAAATAAAAATACAAAAGGATATCAACGTGAGTAGAATGCGTGTAATCTCAAGTCTGAGACCACGCACCTGAAGCTACTTTGCTATATAGTATCTGAGCGATTTTGTGGGTTATATATAATATAGTGTTGCAAGCCTGATGTTTTATTCAACCAGCTCGTGGATCATGGTCATGTTATTCTAAAGAAAGATCAGCTGTGGTTTCCATGTCAAGTTATTTTGTTAATTAATCAATCATTTATTTCAATAATAAAATACTCATACCCTGTTTCCTTGATTAGTCATTGTGCCTATCTTTTCATAATGTCCAATGATCTTTCTTACCTAGTATATTATCACATATTTATGTTTAATCCCTATTCGTCGGTAGTTGATAAGCTTGATATGTTCGTAAATGGTTAAATCGTTATTCATTATCCCTTTAGTTACTATTTAAACCTACCCCCTTAATTATGGTTAATTGACGTCTAAGCCGCATATTGGCACACCGTAGATCCGTTGATTGGCGCACTATAGATCACCTGCTCACCAATGATTAGCGCATTGTAGATCCTCTTACTGGCGTGTCGTAGATCACTTACTCGATGTTGATTGGCGCACTGTGGACCACTTACTCGATATTGATTGGTGCGCTGTAGATCACTTACTCGATATTGATTGGAGCACTGTAGATCCACTGATTGGCGCAACGTACATCACTTGCTCGCCAATGATTAGTGCACTATAGATCTGCAGTTTGGCGCGTTGTAGATCACTTGCTCGATGCTGATTGGGGCGTTGTAGATGCGCTGATTGGGCGCCATAGATCCGCTGATTGGCGTGTTGTATATCTGTTGATTAGTAGCGTGCCGTAGATTACCTGATCGCCGCTGTTTGTCGTGCCGCCACATATCACTTACTCATTGATGATTGCCGAGGTGTACATCTCAAACAAAGAGCTCATAGCTCAGCTCAAACAAAAATGCTCAAAACTCACTCATACATAAGTGTTCAAAGCAAAAAGAGTAATGCTATTTAGTTTACTTAGATGACAACTCGGGTTACAATCCAAATGTAAATGCATTACTCGGAGCAAAAGAGAGCGCGACAAACAAAAGAATATTTCATTTAAAAAAAAATCTTTTACCTTATAAAAATAAGTGCTTGAATTACTTTATATGAAAAGATTCTTAATTCATTATACGAAATCTGTATTAGATGAAAATAGTATGTACAATGATCAATCTCGATAAATAAAGATTTATTGCATTCTGATGAAAATATTTATTGCATTCTATTATAAAATATTAAGACAATATTTGTATCATCTTTTTACTGTATCTTCATTTTATTTCTTTGCGTAGGATGAATACAGTCATGCACTAATTGATTACATTTGTTTTTACATATATTTTTCAAGAAAATGGCAGTACTCTAATACTCTTTTGGGGGGTATATTTATGTTGATTGTGTTGACAATTAAATATTTTAAATAAATAAATTTTATGTTCTTAAAGTTTTACGTGATTTTTAAACAATCATATATTTTTATAAATATGTAGTTCTTATGCGTAGAAAAAATAATATAGAATGATCTTACGTTTTAATAAAATATAGTCACTTATAAAATTAAATTTTATATTAATTACGTGAGATAAAATGAGATTTATAAGATAGGGCTATATTTCCGGAATATTCGGTCCAAATTTGTAATTATTAAAAAATCATGTAATTGTCGGGATATTTGATTTAACGTCACATACATCGACTTGATAATTTCAAAACAGGCGTAACAGGATGGGTGGGTTATTTTTTTAAAAAAATATAAAAATTTGTGGCAAAAAATATAAAAAAAAAAATAATTGTGGAAAAAAATCAAACGGACGGATTCTGAAAATACGTGTTTCTAATTAAAATTTTTAACCGAAACACGGATTTTCAGAATTCGTTTTTGTTTTACATTTAATTTTTTTTTTAAAAAAAATGAAAGTCGAAACTGTCGGTGGATTTTAATATTAATACTGGACAACGCGGATTACCAAAATCCGTGTTACGTTTAAAAAAAAAAAACGATTAACACGGATTGTGAGAATTCGTGTTTTGGTCAATATATACAACTGCATATTGCTCCCCCGACCACAAATCATTCATCAATCCGAAATTTTTTTCTCACAAATCATTCATCAATCCGAAATTTTTTTCTTTTTTCTGTTTGATTTTTGAAGACAATCGGGGAAGAGGTTAGTTGTTATTTTAATGTAATGTAGTAATATGTTTTTGTTGTTTATTAATGTTTAATTGAAGTATATTTGGTTAATTGAGTATT